GCTTCCTGCAGTAATTGGTGTAGTCCGGCTTCATACTCCACCTAAAATTCACTGTGTTTATTACATGATTAATAAAGAATTTCTAGCAGTATAGTTCGTACAAATTACGCAAGAGTTATGCTAAATTAAGGCTGTAGTTATCAAGCAATAAAGATTTCATGACTGGTAAAGCAATGTCGTAAAGCAGCTTTCCTTTAATTTTTATTATTTAAACTGCTCTTTTTCCAAGAAAAAAAAAGGTTTAATTTACTTGGGTCTGATAACCTACTGAGGTGTTTCCATCAGATGTTTGCACATAGTAACGTAGGCCGTACAGAATGCTGCCGTTTCGTTGGCGACATCTGGTGAAACTTCGCCTTGGCAATTGTCGTCATATTCTGGTTTTAATTGAAGACATGACTAAAAGTTAAGGCTCCAAACAAGCAGATATATCGATGATTTGATATTGAATGACGATTAGGTATGCAAATAAAGTTAGAAGATTATGCAAAAGTTTTATTAGACTAATATGGACGAAGCAATGTATTAGAAACCGGTACTTCAAAAACTTGCATAATACCTTTGCTGAACAAATAAGCTTTTCCCTTTTAAACTTATCAGATTCAATTACAAAATAAGAGGCCGTACGTTTTGAAATCGTTTAAAGAAATAAGGCAAAAAAAAACATTCATATTAACATCGCCAGTGAAGCAACAAGTGTTTACTGATTTTTAACGATTTGTCAAGCGCTTCACTGGCTTCAAGGTAATGCTGTTGCATCAGCTATAAATTACAGTTTAAAAACAATTCTTGTTCGATATCTTACTACCTCTAAGAATTATTTACCATTTTTTCACACAGACCACCCATAAATTCTACAGCCTTACTTCGTGGTCTTCGCTTGGTGCGAATTCCTCTTTCGAACCCATAATTTGACCCGCTTGAAGAGCCTCCAATCTCGCCGCAGGATCAATCAGTCCGCCAAGAGACTAAATTAGATGCACAATCAGCGTAGTAACATGCTCTCAAAGATAAACAAAATAAAGGTTCAGTGCCACAAAAGATCTTAATCAGCGCTTGTTAGAAAAAGCTATAAAAATATTGTCTTGCCTTTTCTGAAATTCAAACTCCTTTCAAATTACTCTACTTTCTTAAGTCATTTTCTTAGATAAACAGGCTGCTGCAGATGTGATAGGCTTTAATGACCAGTGAAGTAGTCATTATAACGTTGAAAAGTCGTTCTCGAGCGTAGGTAAGCCAGTAGTAATTTCTCAATTTCTATTATATTTTCAGATGTATAATATGACGGTAAGTTTAGAGCTCTATCACTTTTGTCTAAAATCAGAATTTTCTGTAAAAGAGTACTGAATGACAACCAAATTTACCTTAATCAGATTTTTGCAGTTGTTCTTGAAGGCATCACAAAATCTTTTCGTAGCATTAGCAGCTTGAGGTACCGGTTTTACGAAGCATATACGGTCATATTCGGCTTTCATTACAGGACAGTCCTAAAATAGATTACGACGGCTTATTGGGGATTACACTGTCATTCAGAGAGAAAACATACAAAACTAACCACATGATCAGGAACATTAGCTTTTACTGGAGCTGGAGCTGCCGGAGGAATGGATGTCTTTTTGATAAAGTTTGCAGGGCTGTTGCTAATAGGTGTCAGATTGAGCGGCCCCTTTCGTAAAGGACCCCAGTCTGGACGGACCGACGTTACTGGAAGCTTATTTGCTGGATCTGAGCTGACAGGTCCTGTTTGCTTTAAGGTCGGCTTTGGCAGTCCTTCACTGTCTGCTCGCTCTTTTCTTGGCTTAAAAG